CATTAAACAATGACTTTTTTTATATACTTTTGTTAAATTAATCTGATCGCTTGGTTTAGTTATCGTTAAAAAAATAAAATAAAATTTTAGACACTGTAACATACACCTTCTTACAAATTAAAATTATTGTAGGTAAATAACTTATTAAAAGACAATACAATTAACGAAACACTTGACTGGAGTCAAATAAGACAGTCAGGTGACTATGTTCACCATTTTTTGTCTGTATTCGAGACGCGAAATTAGGATGCTTTTTTAAGGATTTTATAAGATTTCTTAATTCCAATTAGAAAAAAAAGGAAAATTCTAACATAAGATTAGATTACTAGAATTTATTATTAGGAAAGCAAGTTAAATAAAGGTAGAAGCTTCTAATTCAAGTTTCAAAATCAAATTCGTTTCATCACTCTATTTGCGACAGTTCGACTTTTATCAACAGAATCTAACTTTAAATTTGCAATTTTTTATAACTTCGTTAAAATAAACAAGCAAAAATTTTAAAATGTTAATACTGTTATTAGTATATTAATTTAGATACGTAGTATACAGAGTAACTGTAAAGGTATTAAAGGATCGGTGTATGACTCCCAAATTTGAAAAATTTTATTTGTACTTAAATCATACCTAATAAATAGATACGACATTCGTGTAATTCAAAAAATTATCATCAAACAATTATCATATCGAAAACGTTTACTATTTTCAATTTTTTGACATTTATCAATTGAATACATTTTTTTTTTGGTTCAACAAACTTTGTATGGATGTAGCTAGAAAATGTATTTCTTATTTATTTTCCGATTTTTTATAAGTACCTACACGAGCAAAATTTTAAAATTTAACTACGCAAAAGGGAACATTTATAACAGAAATTGAAAGACCTAAAAACATAATTAAAATAATTTACGTAATATCCGTAGTGGCTGTAAAGGTATTAAAGGATTGGTATATGGCTGGCAAAATTTAAAAATTCTATGTATAGGTACATAAATTGTACCTAATAGACGGATATTTATATATATATATACAAGACACGCATGTTAAAAAAATTATCGCCACACAATTATCATATCGCAAACATTTACCATTTTCAATACCTTATATTTACGACAGGTTTAGATTGATAATGAACAATATGAAATTTTTCCTAGTATTTTTAGAAACGTCTCGATCTTGAAGCCGTCTGCTGAACCCTATTATTAATTTGTGTTTGATCAGATAAAATGACAAAAAAATGATTTAGTATTATAAACTTTTTTGGGTACCCAAAGTATTTATATAAAAAAGCCTTAACGTTTTCGTAGTCAAGTTTTGAACTTTAAAATGTTCAGGTTATTGTGTTTCCTTATTATCGTCAATGTGGCAAGTGGTGCCAACATTTTTGCCATATTTAGTACACCATCTATAAGCCATCAAGTGGTGTTTCAGCCGATATGGCGAGAACTGTCTTTGCGAGGTCATAAAGTCACTGTGGTCACTCCTAATCCTTTGAACGATCCGAGTTTGGCAAACCTGACAGAGATCGACGTCAATCATTCGTACAGCAGTTATTCTGTGCAATATCTAATAGACAACAGTAATCTTCTACCAGATCACCAAATGAGCTTAAGTGTAGATCATTTCGTAAAACCTATTATTGAAAGCCAATTGAATTATTCCAACCTAATTCAAATCCTTAAGGATAATAATTCACATTTCGATTTGGTAATTTCTGAAATGTTTTGTGGATGAAAATTCACATTTCGATTTGGTAATATCCGAAATGCTTTGCGCTCCTGCTTATGGTTTTGCGTACAAACTTAACGCTCCATTGGTGGGAATGCTGTCTCTACCAGATTTATCCACGGCATCTATGGCTGTGGGGAATCCCCTACATCCTATTCTAAACCCTGATAGTTTACTGGGATATGGTAGGCAGCTATCATTCTGGGAACGGGTGATATCAACCTATTCACAGATTCGCTACATTCTACGGTAAGTATTTTTTTAATTGTTTTGGGTTCATTCGTTTGTAATATTTAAGAGATTGGCATTTTGGCATAAGTCAGGACAGAAGTAGTAGTAGGGATTTAAAGTACAGGATATCGATAGATCAATAAAAAAAAGTCACTTCTATGTTCGCTAACAATTAATTTAAAAATTCGAAAAAGATTATTAAAGGTGTATGTTTGGAGCGTGGTGGTGTACGGGTGCGAAACATAGACGGTAAACGTTGCGAAAAATAAAAGGTTAGATAGAGAAGGTTAAAAATGAAGAGGTATCAAAAAGAATAGGATAACAGAGGACTCTATGGAAGTCAATAAGAAATTGGCGAAGTAGGTAGGTAGGACACCTTCTCAGGCATGAAGGTCTAGTCAGACGCATTTTAGAGGCAGAAACGGGAGTTAAGAGAAATAGAGGTAGACCTAGATTATATTACTTTTCGCAAATAGTGAAGGATGTGGATTGTTCTAGTTTTAGGGAAATGCGAAGATTAGCTCAGGATAGGAGAGAGTGGAGGTGCATGTCCAACCAATCTTAGGACAGACGACCTTATGAAGATGATGACGATTTGAGTCGCAAAGTTTGCATGCATTTAAGATTTTAATTGATTTCTTAATTCGAATTAGAAAAAAAGAAAACTGTAACGTAAGACTAGATTATGTTATTATAATTTATTATTCAAGAATAAAGCGTAATAAACGTAGAAGCTTCTAATTGGGGTTTCAATTGTGTAGTTNCTGTAGATTATTTCATAAAACCTATATTTGAAAGCCAATTGAATTATCCCGACGTTATGAAGATTCTTAAGGATAATAATTCACATTTTGATTTGGTAATATCTGAGATGTTTTGTGCCCCTGCATATGGTTTTGCATATAAATTTAACGCTCCTTGGGTGGGCATGTTGTCTTTACCTGACATGTCCACCGCATCTATGGCTGTTGGGAATCCCTTACATCCCGTTCTAAATCCTGACAGTATGCTGGGATATGGTAGGCGTCTTTCTTTTTGGGAAAGGCTTATATCAACATATTCGCAGATCCGCTACACTCTACGGTATGTATTTAATTATTTCTGTAAGTTTGTTGATTCATTGCTACGATTTAAATGCTTAACAAAATTTTCGAATTATTTCTGGCATTTTGTGTCCTTATTGGGATGCATTTCATCATCATCATCATAAGGTCGTCAGTCCTAAGACTGGTTGGACATGCACCTCCACTCTTTACTATCCTGAGCTAATCTTCGCATTTACCTAAAACTAGAACAACCCGCATTCTTAACTATTTGTGAACAGTAATCTAATCTAGATCTACCTCTACCCCCCTATCTAGCCTATTTCTTATTGACATCCATAGAATCCTCTGTTCTCCTATTATTTCTAATACCTCTTCATTTCTAACCTTCTCTATCTACGGTATCCTCATCATTCGCCTGTAACACCACATTTAAAACACTTCTAAACTTTTCGCGAGCATAGAAGTGATTTCTTTTTATTGAAGGCGATTCGACCCTGCGCTATCCTCTGCTTTATATCCCTACTACTTCTTCCGTCCTGACTTATCTGACTTCCTAGATACCTAAAATCAGCCACTTCTAATTTTTCGTCTCCTATCTTTAAATTCGCTCTTTCCCTACTTTTTCTTCCCTTGCATACCAGTATTTTTATTTTACTTTTATTTATTTTTATACACTACTATTTTGTCAATACCGTCTCCATTTTATTTGAAGCTATCTCTAACTTCTCCTTGCTAGATGCTAATACTGCTGTATTGTCTGCAAATCTAAGCATACTGATCTTTTGCCCCTGTATATTTATTCCTACATGCACTGTATTTAATGGAGGGTGCATTTAAGGGAGGCTTATTATATACACTTGTATCCTTTATATTATTTTTCATATGAAAATTTGCATTCTTGAGGTAACAACTAGGTAATGGTATTAATAAATTAGTTGTTTAAACGTATCCTCTATCCTTTGCGATTTTCTTCGATGAAAGTAATTTCTATACCTATTTCTATTTTTAAAAACTCATGGGTGGTGTCAATATCTTGGGTATTTTTACAACTTCTTCAATAAGCCATCAGTCATTTCATGCATATATCCCACTTTCAGTAATGGTTTGTTTCTTGTAATACATTGCTTACGAATTGAACTTCATCAATGATTAAGTCCTTCGATTAGCTTCTTGATTAACCCAAAAGTCTTACAATTTGACTTTTTTTTGTTTTGTTCAGTTCCTCATATTGGTAATCCTATTGTACATACATGTAACGATTTTGAGAATTTTGAAGTTTTCAGTTTCTGATATAAATTTTTCCGAGTTAAAGTAAGACACTTATTCGCAGTAAATATTTTTGGTAAAATTTTCCATACTTCAAAATATTTTTTTTTGTGTACCTACCTACGAATATGTACTACTACTACTACTACTAAGTAACAATAGGTTCCAGACTAATTACAAACTAATTATAAAGTTGTATTTGTTTTCACAGCGTCTCGTTCTCGCATATTTCACGTGGCAGAACGATAATGCCGTAATTTGTTTAAATAGTTTCAAAGACACGTCTGCATCATATATTTAATTAGAAGGATAATTTCGATATTTAATTAGGTATAAAAATACTAACAATATCATTTTTTACACGGCAAACTTGGACCGTTATCATTCGCAAAGTTTTTTTTAAGTAAACATGTATTAGACTATATTGCTATATAACTTGCAAAAGTGACAAATATTCGTTGTAATTAAATTATAATACGTAACTGAACGGTCATATACAGAGTGGCCCAAAAAGTACGCAATATGCTTATTGTGGCAAAACTCCTAAAAAAGAAATTGTACCACAGTTAAGAATGGGTCAAATTGGAAAAAACTTCCAGGAAAATGTTTTTCATGATGCTAAAATATCACAAAATCTTTTTTTAATGATCATATTGCGAAGGTACTTCTCGAGCCACCCTGTATATACGAGGACGTTTCAATAAATTATGACATTTGCTTTCTGAAATCGTTTTGATTGATGCTACTGTTAAGAAATTTTTATGAACTATTGTTTCAATTGCTTTATTTCTGCTAGATGATGTAAATGTTAAATTACCTTTGTGGGTACATTTTAGGGAAAATAATGGCAAAACTATCCAGTTGTCATGTATCGCAATCTTATTCATTTTCAACACCTCATTTACTACAGTTGGACGATTGAATTGATATTGAACACATTTTTTTATGGTTCAACAAATTTCGAATGTGGAATATTCTGTGTTGTTTTTTTCAATATCTTATTTTATTTCCGACAGGTTTGAAACTAATTATAAGCAAATGGATTTTTACAGTATTTTTAAGAACTCCCTGTATTCCTCTAGAAATGTCTGATTCTGGAAAGCTTTTGTTGAGCCATATCATTAAATTTCAAGGCCTGTTTGATCAGACAAAATGACAATATGATATAGCACATAAACTTTTTGCGGTACCCTCAGTATTTATATAAAAAAAGCCCTGACGTCTTCGTAGTCTAGTTAGAAGTTTACAATGTTCAGGTTATTGTGTTTCCTTGTTATCGTCAATGTGGCTAGTGGTGCCAACATTTTTGCCATATTTAGTACGCCTTCTTTAAGCCACCAGCTGGTATTTCAGCCGATATGGCGAGAACTGTCTTTGCGAGGCCATAAAGTCACCGTGGTCACTCCTAATCCTTTGAACGATCCGACTTTGACAAATCTTACAGAGATCAACGTCAGTCATTCGTACAGTATTTTTTCCTTGCAAGCATTTATAGACAACAGTCATCTTCTGCCTGATAAGCTAATGAGTATAAGTGTTGGCTATTTTATAAAACCCATAATTGAAAGCCAATTGAATTATTCCGACGTACTGAAAATCCTTAAGGATAAAAATGCACATTTCGACTTGGTAATTTCTGAAATGTTTTGTGCCCCTGCTTACGGTTTTGCATATAAATTTAATGCTCCTTGGGTGGGGATGCTGTCTTTACCTGACGTATCTACAGCAGCTATGGCTGTGGGGAATCCCATGCATCCTGTTATAAATCCGGAAGGCGGACTAGGATATGGTAAACACCTATCTTTCTGGCAAAGGGTGGTATCAACATATGCTCATATTCGCTGCATTCTACGGTATTTATATTTATTTCTTTAGATTCATTCGTTTAAGGATGGGATTTAAAATATTTCCTATTTTAAATATTCTATCAAACCAATTTTGGTTTTTCGGTCTATAGGCACGTTTTTTTGGGATTTTTTTCGTCGAATTATAAAGTCAATGTGACACTCTCTCTACTAGGTCATTTTCAAGCATTAAACAATGACTTTTTTTATATACTTTTGTTAAATTAATCTGATCGTTTGGTTTAGTTATCGTTAAAAAAATAAAATAAAATTTTAGACACTGTAACATACACCTTCTTACAAATTAAAATTATTGTAGGTAAATAACTTATTAAAAGACAATACAATTAACGAAACACTTGACTGGAGTCAAATAAGACAGTCAGGTGACTATGTTCACCATTTTTTGTCTGTATTCGAGACGCGAAATTAGGATGCATTTTTAAGGATTTTATAAGATTTCTTAATTCCAATTAGAAAAAAAAGGAAAATTCTAACATAAGATTAGATTACTAGAATTTATTATTAGGAAAGCAAGTTAAATAAAGGTAGAAGCTTCTAATTCAAGTTTCAAAATCAAATTCGTTTCATCACTCTATTTGCGACAGTTCGACTTTTATCAACAGAATCTAACTTTAAATTTGCAATTTTTTATAACTTCGTTAAAATAAACAAGCAAAAATTTTAAAATGTTAATACTGTTATTAGTATATTAATTTAGATACGTAGTATACAGAGTAACTGTAAAGGTATTAAAGGATCGGTGTATGACTCCCAAATTTGAAAAATTTTATTTGTACTTAAATCATACCTAATAAATAGATACGACATTCGTGTAATTCAAAAAATTATCATCAAACAATTATCATATCGAAAACGTTTACTATTTTCAATTTTTTGACATTTATCAATTGAATACATTTTTTTTTTGGTTCAACAAACTTTGTATGGATGTAGCTAGAAAATGTATTTCTTATTTATTTTCCGATTTTTTATAAGTACCTACACGAGCAAAATTTTAAAATTTAACTACGCAAAAGGGAACATTTATAACAGAAATTGAAAGACCTAAAAACATAATTAAAATAATTTACGTAATATCCGTAGTGGCTGTAAAGGTATTAAAGGATTGGTATATGGCTGGCAAAATTTAAAAATTCTATGTATAGGTACATAAATTGTACCTAATAGACGGATATTTATATATATATATACAAGACACGCATGTTAAAAAAATTATCGCCACNTTTTTTTATTGAATTTTATTTGAATTATAGTGTATGGAAATTGTCAAAGTAATCAACTTTCAACCCTCATAAGTTGTTATGGGGGTGAGACCGCCGCAAATTTTTTATGGGGTTTTACTCAGGCGGCCACCCTCTTTGGGATGGGGGGGTCATCATATAGCCCCCATAACTTTTTATAATACAGAACTTTTTATGGTACAGTGGTGGGAGAGACCCCCTCTTTCGGTCCCACCCACCCCCACCCCCCTTCGGGGGTGAGGGCCATCATCTAGACCATTACCGTTTCTTGAACATCCTTCGTCAAAGTATTCATTGCAGGTTCACATTGAACATTATCTACAAAATCTGTAGTAATTAAGACCATCTTCTTCCCACGAAAATTCATTTTTTACTGCTGGTCGTATTTCCTTTCAGTATTATAGGCTATCTGCTACTGATTACAACGATTGAAACTAACTCAAAGATAAGATTCAACTTATTTCCCATATAATTTTATATAAATCCCTAAAGACCGATACTGCACTAAAATTTACTGCGGCATAGGTCACCAGGGGCCTACACTCGATCAATATTTTCAGGCTTCAAGGACTAATAGTTAGATATATATAAGAAATAGAAATATTTATAAAGAGAAACAAAGGCAGACCTAAACTACTCTTCACAAGCTGTTAGGAATGTGGAATATTCTTAGTTTTAGGGAAATGCGAAAATTGATTCCGGATAGAACATCTTATGATGATGTTGATCGTTAATTGTGCATGTTAGTTGTGGTCCCATAAATGGTTGTCTGCATTGTAATGCGTTGATGGTTTCCAAAGATGGGGACTGAATTTTTAAAGTACTTAGAACCCTTCTAGCTTGTTGTATCGGTTTCTGACGACTGATACCGCACCAGAAGAGAGAGATAATCGTACATGCGATAAAGAAATTTCAATCGAGATAACTATCGTGTCTGCTGCAATCGGAAAATTCTTCATCGCCTAGTTTTTCAATTCGCAAGTTCGAACCAGAAGTTTCTTGGATAAAGGTCTAGATGATGGCGGGGGGGGGGGATCGAAAGAGGAGGTCTGCCTCACCACTGTACCATAAAAAGTTCGTGGCGGTCTCACCCCCATAAAAAGTTATGGGGGTTCAAAGTTAATAAATATGCCAGCTGTCTGTATCTGACGTACCCTCAGCGTCTTTGGCTGTTGGGAATCCTTTACATCCCGTTCTAAATCCTGACACTGTACTGGGATATGGCAGGATTCTGTCATTCTGGCAAAGGGTTATGTCAACCTATTCGCAGATCCGCTACGTTTTACGGTATGTCCTTATTTCTTTAGGTTCATTCGTTTTCAACACTTTATTTACGACAGTTTGACATCAGACATTAATCAACTTAACTTGTTATTTTATAGTTCAACAAACTTTGTATGTATGTATGTAACTACAAAGTGCATTATCATATCGCAAACATT